AGTCGGCCGGTTGCAGTGTCGCTGGCTGACCCCTCTGGGGGTCCTGTCCTGTCGCGCTTCTCCACAGTCCTCCCGTGTCCGGCGGCTCCCTCTGGCACCCTGTCTGGTCTCTACCTCCCCTCGTTCTCTACGAACCTGGTGAGTGGTGCTAACCTACACGATGTGGGTGTACACCAGTTCACTCCTGCACGTCAGCGGGTGACGCACTGTACAGAGGCTAGCACAGGCCGACACCTGGCTACGTTTACCCGTCAGCCGGGGTCGAGCCTGTACACACTGACCACTGCGTCTCCTCCCGTTGCTGAGTCTGGTAGGGTCGCTGCGTCAGGTCAGGTGTTTGCTGCAGCGTCCAGGTCTGGTCCTGAGTCTTCCCCCTGTTCGTGTCGTCTCCTGTCTCACGAGACTCTCCTCTTGCACCACCGTCTTCGTCACCCCTCTCTGCTTCGGCTCAAAGGCATGGCCTCCCGTCTTCTCGTGTCTGGTCTCCCCCGGTCCCTCCCTCCCCTTCCTCAGGGCCCTGGCCCTACCTGTGTCCCCTGTGTCGAGGGGCGCCAGCGGGCTGCCCCTCACTCCTCCCAGTTTCCTCCGACAGAGGCCCCATTGCAGACGCTTCACATGGACGTGTGGGGCCCAGCCCGCGTCCGTGGGCAGGGTCACGAGCGCTACTTCCTGCTCGTTGTTGACGACTACTCGCGTTACACCGCAGTCTTCCCCTTGCGCAGCAAGGGTGATGTCACTGAGGTGCTGATCGACTGGATCCGCGCAGCTCGTCTCCAACTCAGGCAGAGCTTTGGCTCGGACTTTCCTGTTCAGCGTCTGCACTCGGACAGAGGCGGAGTGTTCTCCTCTGGCCTTCTGCCAGCCTACTGTCGTGCACGAGGCATCCGTCATACCTTCACGCTTCCGGACTCTCTACAGCAAAATAGGATTGCTAAGCGCCGCATTGGCATGGTCATGGACGCCGCTCGTACGTCTATGATGCATGCGGCTGCCCCCCATTTTCTGTGGCCGTTTCCTGTGAGGTACGCGGCGCATCAGATCAACCTTCACCCCAGGGTCTCCAGGCCGGAGACCTCCCCAACCTTGCTGTGGACGGGGAAGGTTGGCGATGCGTCGGCGTTCCGGGTCTGGGGATCTCGGGCGTTTGTCCCCGACTTGTCTGTGGACAAGTTGTCCCCTCGTGCTGCTCCTTGCGTCTTCCTGGGGTTCCCCCCAGACGCGCCTGGGTGGCAGTTCTACCACCCCACCTCTCGCCGTGTTCTGTCCTCTCAGGACGTCACGTTCGACGTGTCGGTCCCCTACTACCACCTCTTCCCCTACCGCATTCCGTCCCTCTCCCTGCCCCTGCTCTTCCTTGTACCAGGTCCCACCCAGGTAGAACCCCCTCCCCCCTCAGGGTCCCGCCCCTTCAGATGTGTCCCAAGTAGACGCATTCGAGCCTGTCGAGGTTACTGGTGACTCTGGTGCTGCTGAGGGTGCTGAGCCTGGGGGTGCTGGGCCTGGGGGTACTGAGCCTGGGGGTGCGGAGCCTGGGGGTGCTGAGCCTGGGGGTGCTGAGCCTGGGGGTGCTACGTCTGGGGGTGCTGAGTCTGGGGGTGCTGAGCCTGGGGGTGCAGAGCTTGGGGGTGCTACGCGTGGGGGTGCTGAGCCTGGGGGTGCTACGCCTGGGGATGCTGAGCCTGGAGATGCTCCACCTGGAGGTTCTCCGGGTGTTTCGTCTCGCCGGGAGCCACTCTCTCCACAGGAGCTGCGCGAGTGGTCTGCCCGGCGCTAGCGCCGTACTGCTGGTACTGGAGGTTCTTCGGCTGCTGAGGGTGCTGCTGTCGCGGGTCCCAGAGGTGCTCGTACGGGGAGTACTGGAGCTGCTGGGCCTGCGGGTTCGACTGGAGCTGGTGCTGCTGAGGGTGTTGGCGCTGAGACTACCGCTTGCGGTCCTGCTGGGGGTGCTCTTAGTGCTGCTGGAGGTTCTGGAGCTGCTGGAGGTGCTGCTGGAGCGGGTGCTCCTGCTGGGGGTACAGGTGCTGTCCCTGCTGCTTCTGGCGTCCCCACGCGGCCTCGACCGTACTTCGTTCCACTCCTGCAGCAGGTTCTTGGTCTTCCAACTTCTACTGGTCCTCCTCCTTCCTTAGAGTGTCCACAGCCTGTCCCGTCACAGTTACAGTTGCAGCCTACCTCCCCTTTGCCTGCTCCTTCTCCCTACACTGGTCCTACTGGAGGTCTTGCTGAGCGTCGTGAGCCTGCGTCTCGCCCTGCGTCGCCTGTCCGTGCTGCTTGCACTAGTGGTCGCGGTTCGCGTCAGCGTCCTCCTCCAGTCCCTGGCACGCACCGGATGTCTCTGCGTCCGTCCACTGCTCCTCTGCGTGCCCCTTTGTATTCTCCTCCTGAGTCCTCTCTTCCTGCTCTTGCCGACCCGGAGTCGGACTCTCTTCGTGCTGCCAGTCCTACTGTCACGCGTCTCCTTGCTACTGTCATCACTGCTCCTTCTTTCGAGTCCACTGCTGCGTCTGCCCTAGTTGCTGAGCTCGTCGACTTTGGTGCTCGCTATCGCCTAGACTACGCTGCTAGTCTGGTCGCTGAGTCTGAATCTGTCTGTCCTCCGTCCGTCGGGGGTGAGTGTGTCTTTGGTACAGACGTCCTTGAGGACAGGCAGGAGGAGTTCTAGTGTCTGGTAGCTGCTTCACCTCATCTTGTGTCCGTATTGCTTACCCCTGAGGGAGACCCGGATGCACTTGACATCCCGACTCCGCGCTCTTACGCGGAGGCGATAGAGGGTCCCTACTCCTCTCAGTGGCAGGCAGCTATGGATGCAGAGATGGCTTCCTGGAAGTCTACAGGCACCTACGTTGACGCTGTCCCCCCTCCTGGGACGAACATCGTCAGTGGCATGTGGATCTTCAGGGTGAAGCGGCCGCCAGGTTCTCTGCCTGTCTTCAAGGCGCGTTACGTGGCTCGTGGCTTCAGTCAGCGGCAGGGAGTTGACTACTTTCAGACCTTCCCCCCCCCCCCCCCTGAAGATGACCACTCTTCGGGTACTGCTGCACGTTGATGCTCACCGTGACTACGAGCTGCACTCTCTCGACTTCAGCACAGCTTTCTTGCAGGGCAGCCTGCACGAGGAGATCTGGCTGCGCCGCCCACCTGGCTTCACGGGGTCTTTCCCTCCTGGTACCCAGTGGAGTCTCCGGCGTCCAGTCTACGGTCTCCGCCAGGCGCCACGTGAGTGGCACGACACACTGAGGACTACGCTTGCGGCTCCTGTGTTTGCTCCTTCTACTGCCGACCCGTCGCTGTTTCTGCGCACCGACACCTCTCTGCCGCCGTTCTACATCCTCGTGTACGTCGACGACTTGGTCTTTGCCACAGCTGACACTGCTGGACTCGCCTACGTGAAGTCCGAGCTGCAGAAGAGACACACGTGCACAGACCTGGGTGAACTGCGCAGCTACCTTGGCTTGCAGATCACCCGGGACAGAGCACGCTGCACCATTACCTTGACTCAGTCACAAATGGTGCAGCAGGTCCTTCAGCGCTTCGGCTTCACGTACTCCTCGCCTCAGGCCACTCCTCTGCCTACTCGCCACTCACTCTCAGCTCTGCCTTCGGATGAGTCCGTAGAGTCGAGTGGCCCGTATCCAGAGCTTGTTGGCTGCCTCATGTACCTGATGACCTGCACACGACCTGACCTTGCATACCCTCTTAGCATTCTCGCATGCTATGTTGCTCCTGGGAGACACCGACCAGAGCACATGGCTGCAGCAAAGAGGGTGTTGCGCTACTTGTGCAGTACGTCGGGCGTGGGGCTAGTGTTTGGAGGGCGGAGTCCAGTGGTCCTCACTGGGCACGCGGACGCTTCTTGGGCTGACGACCAGGCTACGCAGCGGTCGTCACAGGGTTACACCTTCAGCCTTGGTTCCGGCTCTGTTTCGTGGCGGGCTACTCGCTCGTCTTCTGTTCTCGGCTCCAGTTGTGAGGCTGAGATCTACGCCGGGGCTATGGCTGCACAGGAGCTTCGCTGGCTCACCTACCTGCTGACCGACCTTGGAGAGCCGCCTCGTTCTCCTCCAGTCCTGTACGTAGACAACAAGGCCATGCTGGCCTTGTGTCGAGAGCAGAGACTGGGGCACAGAACAAAGCACATTGCTCTTCGCTACTTCCTTGCTCGTGAGCTTCAGCAGCGTGGACAGTTGCGGCTTGCGTACGTGGCCTCTGAGGCCAACATTGCTGATGTCTTCACCAAGGCACTTGCGCCTTGTGATCATCAGCGCTTCAACACTCAGCTGGGTCTTGTGCCTGTCTTGCCTCACTTGCTTACCTCTTGACCTTGCTTATACTGTCACATATCTATATACCTACTCTTGCTTGTCTAGCTTTATATATATGTGTACACTTGCATGTGAACTGGCCTTGTGGCCTTGACCTTGTGCTCAGACTGTGTGGTGACTTTGAGATCCACCCTGAGCTTGCTTTGCTTTGCTTTGCTGGACTGGTCTTGTGACCCCTTGTTCTCCCCCACTTTGCCTATGGGGGTGTGTCAAAATGTTATATAGCTTATACATTTGTGTAGGCTATAGTGGGGTATCCCATAAGGGGTACAACCCAATTAGGGTTAGTACTTGTACTCACTCCTTTCTTAGTTCATTCATTCTCGTTTCTTCTCAATGACGTCCTCCACAAACTTGACGTCACGGCTGACCAGCGTCTTCTTGCTCTTTGGGTCCCACATGAGCCACCCCTTCGAGTCAGGAGCCATCCCAAGATGGACAGCCCATAAAGCAGCAACTTCTAGCTTGTGCCCCTGCTCTTTAGGCACCATCACAAGCCCCATGCAGCCCCACACCCAAAGCATGTCAATATATGGCTTCTTCCTTAGTCCCCTCTATCCTCATAGGACCCACCAGGTCCATGTGCACCACCTCCAAGGGTGCCTTTGTCGCTCCCTCCGCACGTGGAAACGGGAACCGCGCAAACCTGTTTTGCATGCACGCCTCGCAGCTGCCATACTAAGCGCCATCTCCTTGCAGTTGCAGCCTATGCACGCACTTCTCCTTGGGCATCACCTCCAATGTAGATACAGCCGCGTGTGCGAGTCGCTGATGCCAAGTCTCCCAATCCGCTTGGCCCAACGTAGCCGACGCCTTCACCACCGCGCTTCCTCCAATCAACTCGTCTCCTTGCACACCTTGCTGCTCCTCCACAGTGACGCTCTCCTCCATAGATGCCGCGGCTGCCGCCTTGCCCGATTTCCTCCAATGATCCGCCACATGCGCTTGTGGATATCTCCCTTCCGCTGCAGGTCCCAAATCTTCCACTGCAGGTCCCAAATAAGGTGCTCATCGTTGTGGGCACGATAGCGCTCCAAGCCAATCGTCTCGGTGTTCACACCCCCATCTCCGAATCGGCCGGTAGAAATCAGGTTCGCACACAAGTCCGGCACCCACAGCATGTTCTTCAGCCCCACGAGCTCTCCATCCGCTCCCATGAACTTGGCGCAACCCATGCACATGACCTTGGCCTTAGCGCTCGTCGCGGACGTCACCGTAGAGATGGGTGCGGGCTGAATCTCATCGAGTAGGTACGCACGAGGAGTCATATGCCAGGAGCTTCCCGAGTCAATCACCCTATTGGTGAGGGGGTGTAGGAGAACCTTAGCAGCCATAGCAAAGTCAGTTGCGCCTTCGTTCACGAGGAAGAAGCACCTGGCCTTCCGCTCCCCAGATTTGTCGCCTTTCTGATCATCCCTCTCCTCTTCACTAGCTCTGATGACTCCCCCACTCCTCTTGCCACCATGCTGGTTGCTTGATGAAGGCGGGGTCCAATTTTTGGGTTGTTGGTAGAAGCACACCTCCCCTTGGCCCCTGCCTCCATCCTCCTTAGGGTTGTCCTTGTTCTTGCCCTTCCACTTCTTCTTGAAGCCACTCTTTCCACCTCCAACTCCATAGCCAGCCCCCTCCTCCGAGCGTTCCACACTCCGCCGCCGCAAGTCCTCCTCTACGATGTGCGCGCGAATGTAATCCACGCTCCACTGGGGCTGTTGAGAGTTGAGGTTGATCGCAAGGGCGGACCACGACTCCGGAAGTCGTATCACGATCTTCACGCATTGCACGAGCTCCGAGTACACCACACCGCCACCTTGGAGCTTTGTGAAGATGTCCCGCATCTCATCCAACACTGGTTGCATCGACTCTCCATCAAAGAACTTGATGTCGCGCAGCCGCCGCACGAGTAGCACAATGCCGGTAGCGTGTGTCTGTGAGTGCACATTCAGAAGCTTCCTCCAAGCATTGGGTCCACATTCTGGATCACCCAAAAGGTCTTTGATGTGGTCGAGTTGCGTCCGCCAACCGCTTGCACCATAAGCATGCACGCGTCAAACGAGCGCTTCATCCATGCTCCTTTCAGCTCCGGCCTCCTGCATCTTCTGTTTCCCCTCCACCAGGTCCAATAGCTTGTATTGGGTGTACATCAACTTCATGCGGAAGCTTCAAGTGCTCGTAGTCCTCCCCCATGAATTTTACAATAGAGAAAGCCTTCAAGGGATCCACGGTTGTTGGAGATGGAATAGTAGACATATCCAGCCTCTCTATCTCTAGCCTTCTCGCCATTAGCACCTCTAGAATCCGTTCCAGTCATATTGAGGCCTTATGAACGATGGAAACTTGAGAAATCGTTTGGAGAGAGTTTTGCCATAAATTTTGATTCAATGAAAAAACGTCGTCGCCTACTGGATACTTTGAACTAGAACGCGGTTCGACCACCAATTGAAAGAGCGTGAGGAGAGCTACTAGAAAATGGTATCACTTGTCAACATTGGTTGAGATTTCACGACGATTTGTCGTCTCAAAGTCGACTACCCACTCTCATACCACTTGTTCAGGATCCGTCACTTTGAGAACTTACGACGAATTCATTTCTCAACTGAACGCAAATCCCCTCAGTAGGATGTTGCGCCTTAGGTTTAGCTACCATCTCCAACTTGAATAACTGAAAACAATGGTCGATAGAGTGAGAACCTGTTGAAAACGTCTAGCAGCAGCATGACTAGAATAGTAGAGGAAGTAAAAACATTAAGGCATAAGATAGTTGGAGTTGGGGACTCCAAAAAAACCATGAGAGGGAAGGGGTTCTCCAAGAGCTAGGGAAGGATAGTAGGAACCTTCCTAGCAGCAAGGATGCAACCCTCATCATGAGGTCCTTGAGGTGTCACAACAAAATCCAATCTAGTTAGATTTTGCCTAGGTGTTGCAACAATTGCAACCCATGCAAGAAACTTCTAGCCACCCCAATCCAAAGGTCAAAGTTGCCTTTCTAACCACCCAAACAAAGATCCCTTTAAAGTCATGTCCAAGTAATCACCCAAATTAGATATATAACCCCAAAAGGTAATAAGAAATACAAGTCTTGGAAATCTTGTAACTTGGGCGATCTTGGTCAGTATAAGGCGATCTTGGTAGAGGAAGTACAAATATTAAGGGTGTTAGGACAGGCTGTGAATTAGGTTCGTCGTCATCGCAGATAGCGGGATTGTTGGGCAGAGCCATGGCGGGGATCTGAAAGAGCCTGCCGAGCAGAATGGAGAGGACAAAGAGGCTGCTGAACTGGGCACTGGATGGGCCTAGTGAGTTGAAGCTGAGCTGAAGGGTGTGGATGAAACCCTAGTTTGTAGAAAAAGGCCCTATAACACACTCTAGGCCATCCATGAGTTGGGTGGGTGGTTGCCTAGCATGCACGGCAACAACGAGGCACGTTTGCCGTGCAATGCTGTGAGGAATGTTTGGTGTGTGGATGTTGCAGCATCGTGGTACACGATGCTGCCTAAAGGACCAATCAAATGCTCTGGGTGTGTGCCAACAGGACTTGTTGGCACCGTCTGCTTGCCATCACCTTTACGTGGGTGGCAACTGCTGCTGCATCTTGGACAGAGGTGGTGGCGGAGTTTGTGGTGGCAGACAAAAGCTGCCAAACGCACCAATCAGTGCTCAGAGAGGGTGTGAGTTGGAGCTTACACGGAGGGGAACAACGCACCGCACGGCGGGTGAGACATCCAGCTGTACGAGGGAAACACCGGGCCGCAGGGCGGTGTCGCCCAAAGAACATGACAGGTACAATGCACCACCGCTAATTTTGGGTGTCGGCGCACAGGTAGAATAAATCAGAGCTCGTACTCGTTTGTACTCTGAATTCATCAGAGTACACTCCCGAAAAATTCTGACATTTCAGAGTCAGCTTTAAAAAAAAAATCTGATTTTCACAGAGTTGAGGCCATAAAAAGTCTAAATTCACAGGGTACACCTGAAAAAAAAAAATCTGAAATTCTTAGAATGTTTCAAGCAAATCAGACAAAAGACTCTGACTTCTGAGGGCCTGGCGCGAAATGCAATATCGCAGAAGTGATTACAACTACTAAGAAAACAACGAGGCCTAGGCATAATATAGCAAGGTTTGGGGTTGGGAAACCTGAAGGCGATGAGAGGGACGTTCGGAAGGCGGGGTCGTCGGACCGAGCCTGAACTGCGAAAAGTTGGAATTGTACGCGTACGGAGTGCCTCAGTACGTGAGCACTGTATTGGGGGTTTACTGGAAGTTTCCTTTCGATATGCCCACTTCCGAGATGGCAGGGGAGTGCCAGGACGTGAGCAATGCACACTTCAACAGCTTGGAGATCCGAATACACTCGTTCGTCAAGAATATCTTCCAGTTACGCTGAGGAAATGGTTGTGTGATTACTAGATTTCTAAGACAAAATCTCGTCACACGTAAGTGTCAAATGTTGTAGCCTATAGTGAGGTTTGTCTTAGGGGGTACAGATGTTAGGGTTTGTTATATGTACCCCAACCCACATCAATGAACTAACACATTCATTCTTGACATGGTATCACCTAGGTTAGGATCCTGTGGGATCCCGTTCCTCTCGTTTACGTCCATAGCGCCCGAGCCTGTCCCGTACCCTAGTGCCCGTTACGCTCGTTGTCAACGGGAGTTGGGTATTGGCCCCGTCCTCGCTTGGGCGGAGCCGACTTCGTGGTCGGGTGTGAGGGGAGCAGCCGACCTACAGCAGTAGGTGAGCTGGTTGACGAGGAGGTCGACCTGCACGGGGACCACTGCACGGGCGCCGACTTCAGGGTGGCGCCAACTTCGGGGAGGTCGACTTGGGAGTCGACCTGCGGAGGACGTCAACTTGGTGACGTCAACTTGGGGAAGCCGACTTCGGCGGTCGGCTGACGGACTGCTGGTCGACCTGGTGGTTGGTCCATCAGGCCTGCTGGTCGGCCTGTTGGTGGTCGACTGGACCTGGTGGTCGACGAAGGAGGGGCCGACGTCGACCTTGACTCAGGGCACCGAGCAGTTGGGCGTCGAGTAGCGGGGCGTCCACTTCGTGACGCCAGCTTCGGGTGCACGACGTGGGTGGTCGGCCGACGACTGTGCTGGTCGACGAGGAGCAGGTCGACCAGGAGTGCTGGTCGACGTGGAGCTGGTCGACCAGAAGGGACGTCGACCTGGAGGAGGTTGACCGATGGTGTGGTCGACCTGGTGAGGTCAACGTGGAGGTGGTCGTCGACTTGGGAGGTCGACGGGCACGTACGGGAGCTGCTGATCGACGTGGTTGCCTAGTCGACCAGGTTACCTGGGTGACGAAGTGCTGCGGAGGAGTGCGACGGTCTCCCAGGCCAAGTTGGCAAGCCCGACCTAGGTGGTGGTATCCCGAGGTCGACGTGGCGGATCAGAGGCAGTCGTCAGCTCGAGGTTGACGTGGTGTGTGCGCTGTGCAGGTGACGAGACTCTGCACGCCAATCATCTGCGCGCACCTGCGAAGCGGGTGCACTGCTGTCTTGCGTGAGCAATGCTGGCACGCCGTCAACCTGCGACGTTGGCACGCCGTCGACCTTGCCTTGCTGGAGCGCGGTCGACCAAGTCGTGCTGGAACGCAGTCGACCAAGCTGCGCTGGCAGTTGGCCGACCTGAATGCTTGCTTTGATGTAGTCTTGCTATGCCAACTTTATTACACCATTGTTCTGAACTTTTCCTAGTGGAACTCTTGCCAACTTTCCCCGTGAACTAGCAAGTAGTGTGCGCACAAGGAAAACGACTAAGGACTAACGAACGCAGAGATCACACGAGCACCCGTGCCTAGCCCGTAGTCTAGCTCCCGTTGTAGCAGTTATCTCCGCATGGTGCGGTGAGCGTGGACGGCACACGACTTACCTTTCAGTCAGGTCGACGTAGACACCACTTACCTATTCCGTAGTTGCAGGCCGGCAACTGTGCGGTAGTCACTATGGTAGGAGCCGTAGGTGGCGCAGGGGTGGTGGACACCCTGATGGCACGGTTGGAGAATGCGAGGAGGAAGCACGAGGCCAACGAGTATGGCGACTTGCCCTGGGCGGTCGTCGAGGCTGGACTCCGCACCATGTGGGCGACGGAGCATCCGTCTCGACCTGCCTCTCCTCGTCCGGTGAACAACGAAGGCGGCGTCGACGTGGGCGTCAACGCCGGTGGAGGTCAGGTCGGCAGCAGTGCGGGAGGCACGTCGAGGCAACAAGGTGTGATACACGCGGAAAGGATCTCAGTCACCCCCCCACTGGTCGGTCGACCCGACATTCTCACCTGGATGGAAGCTATCGAGCCCCAGCTGGAGATGGCCGGGCTGATCGGCTTCGCCCGAGGGACCGTGGCGACGCCCGGGGAGCACCACCCCGACTTGCGGGCGGAGTTTCGTGCCGTGCAGCTGTTGAGCTTCACGGTCATCTCGCGGTGCTGCTCGTCGGGCGTGCAGATCGCCTTGAAGTGGTGCCGGGAGTACATCGACGCCGGCCACCGGGCGTGGCACTTCATTAAGTCGACGTACAAGGTCACCGACGACCTGTTCATCGCCCAGCTGGAGGGACAGCTGACGCACCTGCGTATGGGTGACGAGGAGACAGCGACCGACTACTGCAACCGGGCACGGCGAATTCTCGCCACCGTCAGGATGGCCGGCGCGCAGTACTCCACGGCGTCGTACATCACCCATGTCATGCAGGGACTGTCTAGAAGCTATAACCTCCTGAAGCAGCTGTCTATGGCGCCGAGCACGAGGGCGACGCTCAATGAGGACAACCTGACCTCGTACATCCTGCAGGACGAGGCGATGCAGGAGGCTGAGCGATCGCAGGAGCTCTTGGCGCAGGCCAGCTTCGTCGCCCCGGCGAAGCAAGGAGGTCGACCAGGACAGCGGTGACGGCGGGATCGATGGCTGGAAGTCGACCAAGGAGGTCGAGAAGAAGTCGACCAAGGATGGCGGTCGAGGAGGAGGAGGTCGACGTCGGGAGTGCTGGATCTGCCACAGCCCCGATCACCTCTCCTTCGAGTGTCCCGACCGCAGTGACTCCGACGACGACGACAAGGGCGGCCGTGGGAGGTCGAGCAATCGTCGTCCTCGTCGAGGAGGAAACCGGCCATGCAAGGAGAAGCAGTCGACCAAGACGTCGACTTCGG